CATTCCTTGTAGTGCCACGAATTCACAAATGCCATTTCTCCCGTGTGTCAATCAGCCTCAGTAACTTCTTATCTGTTCTCCCCCGACCACTCACCCACGTGTCACTCAGCCTCAGTAACTTCTTATCTTTCTCTCCTGACCACTCGCCGTAAGCTACACTTATCCTTTTCTGCCTTTCTGTCTTCCACCAATTCTGAACTATCCCTGCTATTCTCCTCCTCTTAAATTCTTGTTTAGAGCAACCTCTATGTCTTGCATGGCCTAACTAACCACAGGGTGACCAATTCTACCGTGACCTTCAGATACTGATTGTATTGGTGGATGTAGGCGATGGTGAATCAGTGAGTAGTCACTCCTACTGACACCAACGTAGAGTGACAGATCCACTTCTGACTGGTAGATCCTAATCCTATTTGAGGCGGACGTATTCTGGAATTCTGATGATTACAACCAGCTTGGACGCAGATGGTGTAGCAGAACTAGCAGCTCCGGATGACGTCAACCTAAAATATGGAGAATGAAAACCAATTTCGAAGCGGATCTTAAGCAGATCTGAATATGACAAACGAAAACTGAAATAGGAAACTCGCAGCAGAGAGTCTGACTTTCGCTGACATCTTGGATTAGGTAGCCTTGTTCACGCACTTCCCTTTCTCAGGGGCACACTCGGCCTTCTCCATCAATGCTGGGCAGACAACATTACTGGGCCATCTATCGTGTCAAAAACACGATTGGCTATGGAGAGAATTGCCGAATCCACGGAAAAACGAAGATGAGAATAGGAATACCCTATCCTTTTCCTTCCCCTCCAAGGATTTGGCGTGATTCCACGTCAGCCTGTGACGTGGACACGCTCCAGGGCCTCTGTGTTCCGGTGCGCGTGCGCTAGGCGCTCGCCGTCAAATTCGTCCAATTTGAAATGCTTCTACTCTAATTTTTTTCCACATCCGATATATATGGGAAAGGTACTGGACCTGGTACTGGTAGTTTAAACTTTAAAGAGGTTAATATCTGCAAAAAGGGCCCAATCTCTGGGTACTAGATTGGCTGTGCCACCCAGAAGGATGATGCGTACATGCCATGGGGGCCATCGGGAGGCATTGGGAGTTATTGGCCACTTAGATAGCACCAAGCTGCATCTCACCATTTGCAGTTCTGTGCTGCCATGGGACACCCCATGCGACAGACTTGAGTGTTTTTTTTTTTTTCTTTCAGACTTTGTTCTACTGTACCTCCTCTGCTCATAGGAAACCATAGCCTAGAGTAACCACTGCTGGGGCCTGGTCCCATCAGCAAAGAGGATTCTATTTAATTCCCGAATCTGGATGCGTTTTTTGTGTGCAGAGATGCAGAAAAGCAGATCAATCTCAATTTTCTGCATCTCTCCACAAAGCATGTACAGATTCAGGAATTACATCCAATGATTCCAATCCTCTTTGCTGATGGGACCAGGGCCTGGTCCCATAAGCAAAGAGGATTCGATTTAATTCCCGAATCTGGATGTGTTGTGTGCAGAGATGCAGAAAAACAGTTCAATCTCAATTTTCTGCATCTTTCCACAAGCGCGTCCAGATTCGGGAATTACATCCAATCCTCTTTGCTGATGGGATCAGGCCCCTTGTTCTGCACTTCGAATATTAAAGAAATATATGACACATGTATCTCCACTCAGAATTACAGTTATGGTATGGAGTCTATGGACCAATGAGCATACACTTAATACTAATACGCCCTCGACCGACACCATGGACACAGAAAAAAGTTGCTGCTTTGGATTCGGGATACTTCCAGCCCAGTGCACTTCCCTTCACACATTGGTCAGAATTTCAGACAAGAACCCGAATCCACTGGACTGAAAGAATTCTGAGTTGAGATCATGCATGTCTCAACAAACTGTCCTTTTCGGGTCGATTTCGCATCCAAACATAATGCCCCATCATCATGCATGTCTACAAACTGTCCTTTTCCGGTTCAACACTGTGATTGTGTGATGGGTTGTTGTCTTGTGTTGTGGGAAAAGAAGATGCTCTGCGAATAGATGGAGCAGCCCATATAGATAAACCCTCAATGCGGACGGTTCTCTTACCACTGCCGGGATGGAGGGCTTACACAGGGGCATTCGAAAAAAGAAGAATAAGAAGAAGAAGAAGAAGAAGAAGAAGAAGAAGAAGAAGAAGAAGAAGAAGAAGAAGAAGAGGATGCTCTGACCAAGCCGATGATGCTTAGCTTGTCTTTTCGGATGATCAGCCACACTGGGACTGAGACACGGCCCAGACCCCTACGGGAGGCAGCAGTGGGGAATCTTGGACAGTGGGCGAAAGCCTGATCCAGCAATATCGAGTGAGTGAAGAAGGGGATTTATCTTGTAAAGCTCTTTCATCGGTAGTGAGATGACGACAAAAACCGAAGAAGAAGCCCCGGCTAACTCCGTGCCAGCAGCCGTGGCAAGATGGTGGGGGCAACTGTTATTCGGAATGACTAGGCGTAAAAGGCACGTCTCTCTCTCTCTCTCTCTCTCTCTCTCTCTCTCTCTCTCTCTCTCTCTCTCTCTCTCTCTCTCTCAGGGTCCTTGGCCAACACGGGTGTGAGTGTGAGTGTGAGTGTGAGAGTGAGAGTGAGAGTGAGAGTGAGAGTGAGTGTGAGTGGTACCCTAGCCTCTGTCATCAGTAGGTGCATGGCCACCATCTGTCCCCAAACCTTGGTCATCAGCTAGATCCCTCCAGTCATTGTAGCTGTTTTGTCATCACACAGAGCAGCACCCGTCTCGGTCATCAGTAGGTACATGGCCACCATCCACTCCCATCCCTTTGTCATCAACCAGGCCTACTCTGGTCTATTTGCCACCATGGGAAGCAGACAATTCCACTACTGCCGTAACCTCCCAAGAGCCCCCCTGCTGCAAGTCACTATCCCCCCAACAACTTGAAGCCCCACTCCCCCTGAGGGAAGATCAACACCCAAGGTGGTCTCTAAGCCCCCAGAAAAACCTGGCCCATACCTGTCTGCACCCAAGATACATCGGGCCAATCGGAATCGGGCGCAGCACCTAGCTCTACCCATGGAGCTATTACATCAACACAACTTTGTATCGTCTGAACTACGTACGTGGGGTGCCGACGCCGACCTAGCACCAACTGATCAAGCACAGGGGAGGTTGAGGGCTGACAGAATTGAACCGGCAAGTTGCAGCAACCTCCCTGGCGCAACAACTGAGCTCTAGCCGACTGCGCTGGCCATGGACTATGATGATAACAGTGATATTGAATTTCAGTACTGAGGATTATCAAATTAATATCAATGAATTATGTTTTTTTTTTTTTTTTTTTTTTTTTTGACACATGTATGATGACCCAATTTTCTACATCTCTCCACAAACAGGTCCAGATTCAGGCATTCATTCCAATCCCTTTTGCTAGTGGGACCTGGCCCAGGGAATCCCTTTTTTTTTTTTTTTTTTTTTTCCAATCTGTCGGGCTGCTCCATCTATTGAGGGGGAGCAGCACCTGCTGGAAACCGGGTCCAGCGTCCCATTGATACATCTTGTAACACAGAGATTGCTGTTTGATGTTTCCTGGGGCTGTGGTCGTATCTCTTGTCAGCCCGGGTCTCCTTCTCGCATGGAGCTGCTAGTAGCACCCAATGCATCCCATCTTGGAGCACCCATTATTCATTAGCCCAGCCCTGTTCAGCAGCCCCCCTGTTTGTTGTTACCATGTCTGTTCCTTAAACCCTTTAAACCCTATATCTTCTCACAACCCATGTACAGCACATTCGTGAGCCTTGAGACGTATAGATCTGCAATGTAATGTGGTGCGATGCAATGCATTGCAGTGCAATAGAATGTGAATGAGTAAGAGAAGATTATCAGTACGAGATCCTGAGTACGTGTATGCTCAGCCGCAGAGCAGATGAGAGTTTTGTGAGTTGCAGGGCACTGAGGGCAGTCCCTGTTGTCATTTCCAGCATCCATCCTGTGCCATGCTGTGTTTCCTCCCCTGCTTCCCATTCGCATCTTCGGTGCTTCTTTTGCTGGTCCTTTCTGCTGCTTGTCTCACTGTTGCCTGCTGGAAATCAGTCTTCTGCCTGCTCTGCACCCAGTCGTCATTGCCGCTCGCTGCTGTTCACTCCATCTATTTCTCGCGAGAGGGCAGCCCTTGTTGCTTCAGTCTACTCGATGCCTGGCCAGGTCTTCAGAGGAGTAGAGTTGCTGCATTTCCGGGGCCGGGAGGGGTAGGTGGAG